TGCTTCGAAGTGTTTTTGTTGGTCAACTTGATTGTGCAATTGCTGTTTAGATATTTTGTCCATAGCTGTTGAAGCTGGTGCTTCAGAAATTGCATCATCTTCATCCATTGTATTAATTTTTTGGGCTGAAAATATCAGAATCATTTAAAGATTATCCTTTCAGCAGATAATTAAGCAGAAAAGGCCATCAATTGGTGTCAAACATAGAAGGGAGGGAGAAGTTTCTCCCAAATTTTCAAGAGGAAGAAAGAAATAAAATAAAGTGAGCCTCATTAATTTAAGCCAGTCTAATTATGGTAAAAACAAATACATTTGGCATTCAAAAAGGAAGATTAAACTCTAAAATTTGGGTAGAAACAGGTCAAATACCATCTTTTAGACATATTCCTCATTCAGGAATAAAGATAAAAGCTTGAAAGCTTCAGAATATGCAAAGAATTTAGGCCTTGTTTGAGCCACTTTTTTGTAGAATGAGAATGAAAAATATAACCGTTATTAGGGCCCCCACAAGAGATAGAAAATTTGAATTCAAATGTTGATGCGATGGATAACGTCATATTTTTCATTTTAATGAGAAAATTACCCAAATGTGGGCTTAAACACAAAATGGATCGAGTGCAACTATACAAGTTTTCATAACAAACAAAAACAAGTTGGGTTTAACTATAACTAGATTTAGATAAACAATTTCATTGATAAAAAATTTATAAAAGCAAGACAAGTTCAGAATATGCATTAATGAGAACAACAGAACAATTGCAAGTAAAAAGCAACGAGATTATATAGAAACATGCTTAGCTTAAGCTAAAAGTTCATCGACTATAATCAAACAAAAATTTTAATATTTATTTTGATGCAAAAGTATTTTCTCTATGTCAGCCTATTTGATAAATTTCAAAAGGGAAGAAGCAGAGACCACATCTTGCCAATCTTTCTTTGACGGGTTAAAAGAAATTGCATATATACTCACAGGGGACACATAGAGTTCAAGTCCAAGTTGAGACTTACAGATACATATTCAAAGGGCCTTCACAAATAATAACTAAAGATGATACTTACGGCCCACGGAATTGGAATTGGAGTTCTCCTGTTCTCCAATTTTCTTCAATGCTGGTTCTTCGCCCTCTTTTTCTCCAGCTTCTGCGGTCTGATTCTCTTTTAATAGTACTTCTTGAGTTTTAGAATTGGGAACGCAGGTAGAATCATCTTCTTGTTCTTGAGTCTTCTCTAACACTGCATGTGATTGTTTTTGGTCAGCTTGATTGTGTATTTGCAGGGTTAATATTTTGTCCACTGCAGCACCTGCTCGTGCATCATCTCCATCTGCTGTATTAGTTTTTTTGGGTTTGCAAGTATCAGAACTATTCAAAGAATATCCTTTTAAAAGATAAGCACAAAAGGTCATAAATTGATGTCAAACATAAACAAAATAAAGAGAAGTTTCCTCTTCATTTATCCTAGTTTAATGAAGGTAAAAATCAATAAGTTATCTGTGAATGTCCTGAAGATTAATCTGCGAGCTCCATCTTTTTGACATATTCTGCATTTGGGAATGGAGACAAAAGCTTGAAAGCTTGAGAATATGCAAATGTTTGAAACTTAAATTGATCAAACGCCGCATCCCTTATTCCAAGACTTTAAGATACAAGAGTAACTACACAAGTACAGATTATGCATGGATGAGAACTAGAAAAAAAGCCAATTGGAGATGTTTGGTGATGCGTAAAAGCAGCGACTTTTAAGTTTCAAGAAAGATAAAAGGGCATATTTAATAGCATGTTTGGGTCACCTTCCTCCCCCTAAACAACTTAAAGAAACAAAGTTCAAGATGGAGTTACTCGACTGAAAGAGAAAAGTCAAAAGTTTATATAGAAACATATACTTCAGTCCTTCCTTACCAAATTCCAACTATTTCAATACCTGTCACCTCAATTCATTAAGCAAGAAAACTCTCCATAATTCGAGCAGCTAGCTGACGCAATACCATGAATCTAAATCTAAATTTTTCTTCTGCAACAGAAGCAGATTATTTCGGTTGATTCTGCTAGAAAATCCAGAGAAGAAGCCAAATTTGGTTTTTAAACTAGACCACACATGTAAATAGTTCAGTATGCAAAAGAATTTCAAAATAAGCGATGAATAATTAAAATTAAGATGAAGAATATTATATACTCACAGCCCACAGATGCAGATGCAGATGAAGCAGAATGAAATATTAATTTTTTAGGCGCCAAACCCATAACCACCAAGCTTCCAAATCTCTCGATTTCTTCCTTTTTCTGGCTTTTGGTGTGATTTGAGCCTTGAATATCAACCGTTGTTTGGCTTTTTTATTGTTTGTTATGCTCCTTTTCTTCTTATGTACGATGAAGAAGGAAATACCAATCGTTTTTTCAGCACAATCAAAACGCATGCTTATAAGATTCATTAATTTTAATTAATTAAGGAACATCAAAGGAATTCAAGTGTTTATTACCTTGAATATCCCAACGCTGCCTTTCAAGATCAATCTTCTCACACTCTCTCAAATTTATTTACTTGTATATTTGCTAGAAATATTTTTCATTTAATTATATTTACCATTGAAATTTGCACCCACAAAGTTTTTTTTTATACGGTTTGTTTGAACCCCTTTATTTTTTAAAATGCATTTTATAAAAGGATTATGATTTATAATGTGTGCACAAAAAATAAGAAAAAAATTTGAATTTACGTGTAATATTATATTATTGAAAAAAGTGTGGTTGAAATTGGGTCAAATCACTGCTCAAAAATACATTTTGATTGAAAAATGGGGTTCAAACAAGGACGTAATATTATGAAAAATTAAAAGCAGATATCGTTGAATTCTTTTTTATGCTCGAGTATTTCACTACTAGAATGGGTTAGCAGAGTATGTTTGGAAATGGTTTATAAATTAAATTGTAAATAAATAAAAATAATGGTGGATGAGTGTATATTACTTATAAATCCTCAATATGTATGTTCACAAAAGTGACTGGAGTATTTTTTTAAGTCATCTATAAACAATTAAACATTCATATAAATCCCAAAATGGGCTTATTTGAATTTTTTTTTCCCTTTATTAATATTTGACCGTCACTTTTCTTGGTACGAAAACTTATTTTATTTCTAAAGCATTGATATTTTATGTGGTGCCCATAATGAATTTGTGCCACTAACGTGCCAATACAATCATGATTAAAAGTGGCGGGGGGTTGGACCGGGCTGGCCCATTCAATTTGTTTTAGTAGAAAAAAATTTCTTATGTAATTTTTTTTTTTTTATGTATTAGTCCTGCTTGTAATCCGATCCTGGATCCGTTCCTATTCTCATTACCATCGAGACTATTCAACTCTCCTCATAATGATAAAAGTTATAACTCATTGTGCATACAAATCTTAATGAAGAGTATCCCATAACTTGACACGATGATAAATTTAAATTGATTCATAATGTAAATCGTTTTTAGTGATTTGATATATGAATAGGCATTGATAAATTGGTAGCTTTTATTATAATGATATTAAGTCTATTATTATTATCATTATCGTCTTCGTTACACTTGAAATCTACGAAGGTTTCATGTAAGCATTATTTGGTCATGTATGCCTCCAACGTACTACCAGGTGACAGTCACATGTGATTAGCATTCCTTATTGTGGAACCGAGCATTGAGCCTCGCCTTCAGCAGTATTGAGCCATCCTTTATGGCGTTCGTATAGCACCAACATCACTTAAAAGCTTAGCACATCCGCCGATCTCCTTGATTCTTGAATGCTCTAAGCAAAATTTATGCTCATTCGGCATAAAGGTCATCGAATCTGTTATTCTTAGAACATAAGTCGGATATATTTAGAAAAAGAAGAATTCTACCTGAAAATTACCGTGCTCCTAAGAAGCGGCAAGGATCCTTGGATGTCAAGAAAAATCTTAGGAAATCAATAGGTACAATGTAACCCAGTCCCACAAAGAAACGAATATATCAAAGTGAATTTACAACGGAACAACCAAGCATTACATATGGAATTAGGGTTGCAATTGTTGACCTAAAAAATAAATATTATTTTATAATGCCAATGGTGCAACTTTCTTTTTCTCAATTTTAGCATAATTGACCCGCTTTTTAGGAATTTTTGTGTTTTTAAAATCAATGTTTGTATTAGAGGGAGAAAAAAAGTAGTTCCAATGTTTCTTTCAACCATGAATTATTTTTGTGAAGAGAAATATATCGATCTCAAACATTCTTTCAATCTGAGACTTTTTGGTTTTTCAAAATTTGAATTTCCATTTTTATTGCACAGTAATCTATTTATAGGCAATTTATGAGGGCATTTTAGTTATATTACGTAAGTTGATATTCTCCGACATTATGTTAGAAGTAACGATCAAATCCCATTTTCAAAGCTTATGAATGCTTGTATTGTCGTCACACTAGCAATGAAATTCATTATTTGTACGCAAGGACTGAGTATACTAACATTGAGATTGATTTATTAGATTTCGCACTAAGATTCCTGTCCATGTCCGAGGCTATCCGAGGTCTCCAACTATGTCTTTGGCTGAGGCATTTAATCATGTTGCCGACCAAATATAAAAGTCCAGATTCCTTCACTTGGATAAGCATCGACCGCCTAGGCATCTTTTGTTCCAGTGCCTCGACGACCGTGACAAAACGTTCATTCAAAGGCAAGCGATGGGACCCTTTTATGGTTGGCGTACTATCTAGGTGGACCATAATAGTTTTTGTATGTAACATTAATTCCCCAAATTCAAAATTAATAATTTTATGAATTGAAGGATTTATAATATTCATTTTCTCCTAGAACTAAAGTCTTTAAACAGTAATGTTTTATCTTCCCCTTGCACAGCTTCTCTTTTTCCCTAGAGTATCACACTGAGCACATGTCGAAACATACTAGATCTGGCTTCTATAATTTTT